CAGAACCTCAGATGTTCACACGAGGCTCCCATTGAACTCAATGGAACTGCAAACACGTACTAGGGCAGTAATAGTTTATACTGTATTGGAAACACTACTGTCTGAAGTATGCAGTGAACTAGATACTACCCACTGATGCCATAGGTGGGGAAAGAAGGCATAGGCTGCCCCGTCCCCATCACAAAAGCAGCAGAGTAGTTTATTTATCTAGTGCTCAAGACAGCACTGGGTGGTCGACCCTACCACAAATCACAGTGATCTGACAACTGGGGTAGAAGGGGCTTATCGATATGCTGCCATCAGCAGCAAACACTGGAAGGGGATACACAGTAGTGTTTCTTTTTAGAACAGTGGCACAGTGCACTACACTGTGCTTCCCTTAGTTACCCCATAAAATCTGGATTGGGACAGCAGAACTCCAGTAGTAGAGGATACATAGGGCAGTGCCACTTCTCTGTCTTTCTACACTGACCATAGCAAGATTCAGCTTCAGCCAATTATGTTTTGACTTTTTGACCACTGAAACAGGCTTTGATCATCATGAGGACAATCTTCCTATTCAATATGTTTTATAGACACAAAGCAAATGTAGAATATCCATCTTTAAGACCTTAGCAAGACTTGACACCTTTTGTTTTTAGATGTTGATCTTTCTTTGTGCTTTAAATTAAAATAAATAAATTAATGGAGATATCCCATCTCCTAGAACTGAAAGGGACCCTGAAAGGTCATCGAGTCCAGCCCCCTGCCTTCACTAGCAGGACCAAGTACTGATTTTGCCCCAGATCCCTAAGTGGCCCCCTCAAGGATTGAACTCACAACCCTGGGTTTAGCAGGCCAATGCTCAAACCACTGAGCTATCCCTCCACTTTAACTAGAAAGGATTTTGTTTAGAATTGCGGGGCATCCTCTTTACCTTGTTTTGATCCGCAAATTTTAACAGGGTTCTTAATAAATACATTACATTCACAAACACATTGCTAATTATTTAGTCATTTATATATAAATGGTCCGAATCCCTCTGGTTCCGCCAGTGCGTCGGGGTTGTCCGCCGTTGGCAGCTCCAGCTCCCCCTCGGGCTCAGGCTCCTCCAGCTCCTCCCGGTCCTCGGCTGCTGGCAGCTCCAGCTCCCCCTCCGGCTCCTCCAGTCCCTCTGGGTACTCGGCAGCGGGCAGTCCTGGCAGCCCCAGTCCTTCGTCCAGGTGAGGTTCCCACTGGTCCAGGGCCTCCCCTGGCGTGGCAGCAGGGTCTGAAGGGAGCAGCCCGCGGTCTGCGTCTGCCTCCCTCCCTGGTGCTGCCCTGACTGAGCTAAGGGCCCCGCCCTTTATACTTCCTGTTCCACCCCTCCCCTTCCGGGGGGTGGAGCGAGCTTGGCCTGGCCCCGCCCACTCAGGCTGAGAGAGTGGCCCTTTACCCTCAGATTCGGAGGGCAGCCACCCTGGCTCCCTACACACTGCCATGTTGTCGCACCAGAAGCACACCCTTTTATTACCCAGCTCCGATCCCCAAATCACCACCGCAACTAAAATGGGGAAAAATTCCAAGAAGGTCATGTCACGCACAATCCCTTTTTATGTCCAGGCGGCGGGCCATTTTTGTGCACACCATTTGCCTTGATAAAACACCCCAAAACCTGTGCCCCCTGCCACAGCTGAGTGGATTTTTAACCCTCTTTGTAATAACCATTCCTCCCTCCACAATGATACCCCATTAAATCAACTCAGAAAACTTTCCCACACCCCCAAGTTTTCCTTCATCTCTCTAGTGACTGGTATGTAACAGTGTGGCCTGGCTATGCCAGCCGTTGCCGCTGCCAGCTGGGCACAAAATGTCTGCCCACGGGCCACAACCCTGCAAGCAAAGTTCAGGTGCCCCGAAATAGATTGCAGTTCCCGCTGCCTGAGTTTTCTAGCCCCCAGTGCTCTCTGGAGCAACCCCAATAGCTCCTGAGGCTTATGCTGAGGGAGCCAAGATACGCCCTCCCTGGTGTCCAGCTCAATGCCCACGTAGGTCAATGTAGTGGAAGGGCCTTCTGTTTTCTCCTCCGCTAGAGGTACCCCCAACTCTTTAGCCAGGGCCTGAAATGTGTCCAACAGGTGAACACAGTCATTTGACCCAGCTCGCCCTGCGAACAAAATCATCCAAGTAATGCACCACTTGGTTTAGTCCCGCTGTCCGCACCACTGCCCAGTGCAACATTGTACTGAATTTCTCAAAAGCTGGACAGGATACTGAACAGCCCATGGGCATAGCCTTTTCATTAACAGAGCCACCTTGTGGGTATGACAGGCGATGAATTAATTGGTATGTCCCTGGGGTCTTCTTGGGGACCAACCCCAAGGGGGAAACTCTCAAATGTGCTATAGGCAATTGATTAAGTGGCTCAGCTATCCTGCCCTCCTTTGATTCTTGTGCAATCTTTTTTTTGAACAATATGTCCCATCCCAGTTACTGACTTAAAATTTGTTGACATCAAATGAATTCTATTTCTCACAAAAGGGATCCGAAATCCTGCTGTAGACCCCTCCCACAAATATGCCCCATCTGCCCTGTTAGGGTAATCCCATACGAGAACCCTTAACACATCCGGCCTAACTGGCGTTGGAGCCCGTGCCCATTGCTCCCCCCGCCACTTGTCCCCAGCCCCAGCTTGTGCTCTGTGTTCCAGACCCTGTTCCACCCCTGCGGTTGACGCTTGCGCCACCCCCATTCCTGTTTCCTCCCAATGATCTTCCCTTTCCACTCTGGCAAGAACGGGCTGAATGGGTCCCAAAACATGTCTCGCAAACATGCCTGTATCTACAGGGGTTGTGAAAACAACCACCATCATTAAATGCCCAGCAAATACTATTATGTGCCTGGGGCCCCTCCCGAGCTTGTTGTGGTATGAACAAACCACTGTCTGTGTGAACTCCTGGCGCTCTTGGTGTCATCCACTCCAACCACAGTGTGTGATGAGGTATGTCTCACCTTATCCCAGTTTGCGTTGCTGCCTTTAATTGAAACTGCTCATCATAATTAAACCAGGACATGCCCCTAAACATATTGTGTGCCCGCCTAATTAGATCCATATACTTAACCAAGGCAGGGCTCCTCTCTGGGTAGGCCTGTACTATCACACCTGCATAGATGAGGAAGGCAGCTTCCCAATTTTCCCATCTTCTAGGCACCCTTGGGCAGCTCGCTGTTTTGCTTGCCTTGCCCATGTTTACTGTCTGTCAACACCTCCCTGTGCAATAGGGATAATATATCCACGTATTCGCCTCTAAGGATTTTATATTTAGTTGTACTGAGTAGGTGAACTCCCATCGGGTCAGCCACCCCGGCATAACCACACTCAGGACTGCATGGAGGGAGTTCCGCAGAGCCCTGCTCTCCCACTGACCCCCTCAGGAGTCTCTACCCTGTCCCATGAGGTTACCTGCCCTGATGGCCGATGTGTTCCCATGTGCCCAGGGGCTTCATTCCCAACACGGGCTTTGCTACCCTTGCCAGGGGCCTGCCCCTGTCCTGCTGCCCAAACTTGAGCCCATACTGGGCCCTGTGCAGACCCTGCACACCTAGCTGCCTGAAGCTGCTGTAGTAAATGCAAATTAGTTTGCAGCAGCTGTGTAATACCATCAGTGCCCTCACTGAAGGTGCCACCCCTAGGTGGGTCTGCCCAGGCTTCTGGACCTCCCACTCCTGGGCCCAGAGTATTTACTACCCCGATAGCCTCACTCCTGTCCCCCTCAGGTGAACCCACTGAGTGACTGGTTGAGCACCGTCCTGCACCTGGCTGTGGCCCCTGCAACTGCCACCCCTTGCCAGGCTGGAAGGCCGGATACCACCTCTGCCATCCATGTCCCCATCCTCTGTGTGGTTCAGATCACACTCACCCTGGGGGGGGGGGGGGGGGGGGGGGGGCCCCGCCTCCAAAACTGCCCCCCCGGCTTTTTTTTTACAGCAGTTTTTGACCTCCTCCCCCTTTCCCTCCGCAAAAAAGCAGAGCTGCCCTTCTTTGGCTAAGCCCCAGACAAAATCGGGCCCTCTTTAGTTTTGGTGCAGTCATTATCAGGCTGTCAGTGTTCTATAGGCATCACAGCAAAAATGAGTTGAGATATTTGAAAGAAGGTAAGGTAGCAGGTTTTTGAGGGTAGAAGCTCTGTTATCTGGTCGTGTTTTGTGCAGATTAGAACAATATCACGTATATTTTACATTCAGCCACTATGCAATCTTTTCTCTTTTGTACAGGCTAAAATACCAACAGATCGAATGAAACATCACTGCTTTGTACTCTCATATAATGGCACATTATAACAATTTAAGTTTTTTACATTTAAGTCGTCATAAATGGCTTGAAAACATAAGAGCCTGGAGTCCCCTATTTATTTACAGAGTAGGCACATTACACAGGCCGCACCTATTATCGAATATATATTATTTTGTAAACAGTTTTTATACCTTGCCTCTACTCCAGCTATCAGTTCAGTGTATGGGGGCCCAAAGGAAGAAATTAAGGTAACATTGTTTGAGTGAAGTGACACTTAATGGAACCTTGTAAAGTGCATTTTTGCCCTTTATCGAAAAATTTTATCAATGAAAAATGTAAATGTTTTCCTTGGAAGCATATCCTTTAAAATGCTACAGATATGCTATATTTCTTCCACCATGAGTCTATAGCCATCTGTGCTCACGCTGCATGATTCAAGAATGTATTTCTTAATTGTGATTATTATTGGGGTGTCAATTAATCACAGTTAACTCAAGCGATTAACGCAAAACAAATTAACTAGATTAAAAAAAGTCACAATTAATCACAGTTTTAATTGTACTTTTAAACAATAATAGAATACGAATTGAAATTTATTATATATATTTTTGGATGTTTTTCTACATTTTCAAATATATGATCTCAATTACAACACAAAATACAAAGTGTACAATGCTCACTTTATATTATTTTTTTATTACAAATATGTGCACTGTAAAAAAGGGATAAAAGAAATAGTATTTTTCAGTTCACTTCATTCAAGTACTGTAGTGCAATCTCTTTATCGTGAAAATGCAACTTACAAATGTAGAATTTTTTTTTTTTACTTAAGTGCAGTCAGAAACAATGTAAAACTTTAGAGCCTACAAGTCCACTCACTTCTACTTCTTGTTCAGCCAATTACTAAGACAAACAAGTTTATTTACCTTTACGGCAGATAATGCTGCCCACTTTTTATTTACAATCTCACCTGAAAGTGAGAACATGCATTCGCATGGCACTGTTGTAGCCAGCATTGCAAGGTATTTACCTGCTAGATACGCTAAACATTTGTATGCCCATTCATTCTTCAACCACCATTCCAGAAGACATGCTTCCATGCTGATGACACTCATTACAAAAAAATGTGTTAATTAAATATGTGACTTAATTCTTTGGGGAAAAATTTTATGTTTCCTACTCCGCAGTTTTCCCCATATTCTGCCATATATTTCGTGTTATGGCAGTCTCGGATGACAAACCAGCGTATGTTGTTCAATTTAAGAACACTTTCACTGTAGATTTGACGGAACGCAAGGAAGGTACCAATATGAGATTTCTAAAGATAGCTACAGCACTTGACCCAAGATTTAAGACTCTGAAGTGCCTTCCAAAATCGAAGCGGGACAAGGTATGGAATATGCTGTCAGAAATCTTAAAAAAGCAACACTCCAATGTGGAAACTACAGAAACCGAACCACCAAAAAAGAAAATCAACCTTCAGTTGGTGGCATCTGACTCAGATGATGAAAATGAAGGTCCACACTGCTTTGGATCATTATCAGGCAGAATCCGCCTGTTCTATTTATTCAGAACAAAAGCATTGCGGAGAAAACATATCTAGAAAACAATAAATAGCTTACGTGCATGCCTAGCTTAGTAGGTGTCACCCATCTTTCCTGTGGAAACCCTGGAAGGTTTCAGAGTACTTCAAGTCCTCTCAGAAGGCCTGTCTCTCTGGATCACAGTCTCATGTCAGTTCTTGGATTGGGGGAGAATGACCTCTCGTCCTACATCAGCGTGGTCACTTAATGTAGATGTCAGTTTATTGTTTGTCAGGCCTCTTGAACTAGGTCAAATTAGTATATGCAGTTTCCCTCAGGACGTGAGTCTTCTCCAGATTAGTTAGTTGCCTGAGGATTTGCATTAATTATCCCTTAGTGATTATTAGTTTATACAAGAAACTCTTTAAATCCCTAGCCCATAAAAATATATATCACATTTCTAAAATTGATACAATAGTCTTTAGATATTCCATGTGTCCATAGTATCTATCACATCTCCTAGGTTCCCCGCCCCTTCAGCAGCCAGCAGCTCAGCCAGACCTCCCAGCTGCAGAGCTTTTCTGAGGGAAATTGCAAACTTTATTTCAAATTTTTAGACTAACACATGGGTTCGATAATTTGTCTGTGTAATTCCCAGCTGTGCTCCAGGGCTGCATTTGATTTTTGGGGAGATTGTCTTCTGCTCCACCCCCTTTACTGAGTGTCTCATTGGGGAGCTTGGCCAGCTCTGTGGGCAGGACACAGTTTCCCTCACAGCCCCATTGGGTGGGGTCGTCTCGGCTTTCTTCCTTCCGTGAGGCAGATAGGACTGGAACAGAACAGGCTCCAGGGCAAGCAGCCCCTCTCCCCTTATCTCCACATGAGGAGTGAACCTGGAAGGGCAGTGTGCCAGATGGAAGGTCGCTCCTGCATCCCTATAGCATGCAGCCGTGCCTCTGATGGTGGTGGTCAGCCACTTCCTCCGCACCCCCCTTTGCTTCTCTGCAGGTCTTGGCTGGAGGGCATCACACACTGCCAACACCAGAGAGTGTGGTAAGGGGCTTTTGGACCCACCGCCCTCCCCCCACAGCCCCTCCCTATAGAATAGACTTTGCATGTGTATTTGGTGGCCAAACTTGAGGTGATTTCGATAAACTCTTTTTAAAATATGGGATTTAGAATAAATAGTTGAATCATGTTTTCAAAAGTGTTCTAATGCTTCTTTTTACGTACATCCTATCTCAAAAGCAGCTTGTCCTAGAAACTTCAGTAACGTTTATCTAAAAATTCTTGATGCGAACTAGAGCACGTGGCAAACTTTACGTTGGAAAAAGGCATATCAGGGAAGTTTTCATTGGTGAACTAGGAATGTCAGACTCCTCTGCTAGGCTGCTTGTAGTGGACTTTTAAAGAGGGGCAAATGTATGGTGAAGATCTCAGCTTTCATTTTAAAAAAAGGTGTCTCACTCAGTTTTGACATTCAGATTTGAATAAAGTTATAAAGTACTACTACTCGTATGTTATTTTTGAGAGACTTCCTTTATTTACAGGATATGGAAGAAACACCGACACAGTAAGGAGTTCTTAGTGAGTCGTTGTTACTGAAACTGTTACATTGTTCATTCTTGCATTGCACACCTAGTGGGTTCAAGAATAGTTTCTAATATAGTAATCTTGTTTCTCTCTCAAATACTTTTGCAGTTTACACCACTTTTGCTTAGCATGAATACTGAATATTAATTTGACACTTTGGCATGTTTGATCAATTTTTTCTGATCCTTCAGTCACTTAAAATTAATTATTCTCATGGATAGAACTTCTGAACATTCACATTAAAAATGTTGTTAGTAGAAGGTATGTGTAATACGCCTCTTATCAAGAATGTGGTGACTGGAGACAAAAGTGAGCCTGTAATATGTGAGGTGATGGCATAATCTATCACTGATTTAGAACAATATTAGATTACTTTCTTGGAATGCTGGTGAAATGGATACCAGAGTAGTAAGATTGGGAACTAGAGAGTAAAAAACCTGTACATAAAGCAAAATTGTAGCGCTCTCACAATTTTTACATCCTGTAATACACTAGATGGGACCAAGCTTATCATTCCATTTATCCACATGAGTGAAATAGAAGGATTTTAAAAAAGACGAGTGATTTCATGAATAGGGAGAGGAATGGTTTCATGACGTTGATCGGTTGAACTTTGAAGCCATCCTCTTTGTACCAGCATTCCTTGGTTTCAGTGTAATAACTATAATTGAGATTATACTCAAGTATAATTGAGATTATACAAGTATGTTGACTTGATTTTACTAAAGTAAACAGTATTTTGGGGATATGATAATGTTGTGACATTTATATGGCATCCCTCATATGCACTCAGAAATAAGTAATAACCAATTTCCTCTATCTGAAGTATGTATAAGGGAGCCTGTTGAAGTTAGTGTTGCATTTTTTATACTTTTCAAAAGGAAATTCTTCTTTAACAATTTCAGTTTTTATAATTTTGTATAATACAAATTTGATGTTTTCTTGGAAATGTGAACATTAAATTATGTTCATATCCATTTTATTCTGCTTTTGGTTAATATTTTATTTTGCCCTATGTTGTGACACAGAGGCCCGTTGGTGATTCACTGTGCTGTGTCAGCAACTCTTGCAGGCCTGACAAACTCACTACGCCTGACACATTGCTGTCATAGAGTTTATCTATACAGAATGTTGTATGATCGATCAAATGGAAGCCAGTTACACACTGGTCATTAATATCATTGTGAAATGTATGTATTAACACTATATGAGAAATTATGGATACTTACTGATATGATGCTTCCAGACAGGAGGGCCGGTGGTTATCTCCCTGTTGCTAATGTAACCTGATCGTGGTGAAGCCAGAGACAATGGGAAGTTTATTTACATCCGATCAAAACAGGAGGAGCAAATTAAGAGGAGTGTGAGAAGAAACAGCATAGGTAGCATTGTGTCTGCATACTAGTTGGGAAAATTTTGTCTGGGTGTACGCGTCAAAAGAATATATTTCAAAATTTTTCTGAACTATAAGAAGCAGGGGAAGGAACCCTTTTGTTACCCAACACTGAGGGAACAAAGAGGTCAGCGCTCTTTGCATCCATGAATGATAGATCCCCAGCCATGTTGGTTGGTGACACTAAGAATTGGCTGTAAGTGAGAAAAACTGCTGTAGACAGAGATTGGAGCGTGCTAAGGTTATAATGTAGTCTCTTAGAAGTGTGTTATACATTTTTTTTTATTTGTAACCATTTCTGTTTTGATTACCTTTGCTTAGTATCTCTTAAATTTCTGGTTTTTATTAATAAATTTATTCTTGGTTTTACTGTAAATTCATCTTAGTGCTGTAATACTAAAGGCTGGTGTTGTAGGCAGAGGACTTGGTGATTTCTCCTGTGACAGAGGCTGGATACTGCAGAAGAATGCTCTCCAAAGGGGCTCGAAGATTGGGCTGCACCTAATGCTAACCTGCAAGGCCAGGATAGGACTGAGTAGAGTGCTCGAGTGGTGGAAAGTATTGTACTGGTATTGTACTGGAGCTGACACCCATCTACCACAAGATAGACTCCTTCACACTGGAGGCAGGGGCTAACAAGGTCACCCATAGTCCCAGCACCCCAAGAAAGCATCACATCTATCTAGTATTGCAAAGATTATAAAAAATATTCCACACCCAGTTTTGTTCATTTCACTATCTGAGCACCATTATCCCTAATACATGGCACTACAGACAGTATCTGATTGTTAATAGGCGCATAGCAGAGCATCAGGGCAAGCTCAAGCATTCTAATGCCATTGCACTGAAACAATGATTTTTTAAAAAGTTATGGTGACCAGGTGATTTAGAAAGAGATTTTGAATACACAGGACATTAATCACCTACTTTTCAACAGTTTCAAGAGAGATTGTGCATTTAACTGAGAGATCTGGGCCATTGTAAGGATTGGAACTTTAATATTCCAAACAGGATTCCTCATGTAAGAAGTAAAGACAATTCACAAAATGTAATAAAGAAAATAGGAGACAGGAGTGCCTCTTGAAAGAAGTTCAAAATTATTTTCATTACAACAGACCTGTAAGGCTACTCCTTTCAAGACTATCCTTTGGATCTGCCATTTTGTGAGACTTCTTATCTGGCTAGACTAAGACTAGCCAGCTCTCTATGGAATAACACACTCAGCCTTCGGAAGGTTCTTGAAATCATATTTT